TCGAATTAATCGATCAAACAGTTTCTTCTGTTCTGTCTTTGATTACTGTTATTGGTAAGTTTGTTGTGCACCCAGGAACAGCTACAAGTTGGAGATATTGAACAACACATGTTGCAAAATCTGTTGAATAAAAGAGAAAAACCTCTATCTGATGTAAATTGAGTATGTCAAGAGTTTAAGTTTAAACTTCCTTGCGCACATTTAAAGATTCCTACTTTCTTGTTTTCTATTGTGCTGGTATGCACACTAACCAAATAGTTAGTTACAACATCATTCTCCTCCTCCCACAAAGACCCATTCTTACACAAACTTCCGCACATACAGTAACTCAAGAGTTTAAGGGTGTAAAAGGGTTAGTGAAATGGCAAGCTGCTTCAGTCTTGTAATGTGCACCTGACCTTAAACAGCTAATGCTGCAAGATCTAATTTTGAGTTCTGGTTTTGGAAAAAGATTTTGTGAGGTAAATATCTGTGTTTAAGAAACAATCCTAAATTGGTCAGCAGCTGTTTATTCTTTTTGGAATATACTGTGGTAAAGATAATACAGTCTATGAGCAAAACTTTTTCATGAGTGTTTCATCATGTTCCGTTCACACAGAGGTCAGTTATTTACAGGAGTGACAACTGCTTATTCACTCTTAACCCGAATTAGTTGACTTTACTAGAAATTTGCGAAGAAACCCATTGCACTAAACCATTTTAGTTTTTACACAAATTGAAACTAAACAGCTTTAGTTGAATTAACATAGAACCTTAAGTTTATGCAGTAGACAAATCAAGTTTACATTAGTAGTCTTTACTCAAAATCATTAGTTCACATCAATTATTATTTGGAGTATACTGTAGGTTGCATAAAATAACTATTGCAAGTTACAACTAATAGTTATATATATTAGCAAATAACATTAACAAATGTTTTTAAGTAATGATAAATGTTATATTGATGTAATGTCAATGTAATTAGACATAGATTTTGAGATTTATTGTATTAAACGTTCTTTCAAATAAATTGGAAAAAAAGAAAAACAGATTTCAATGCACAAATGTTTTTTATTGTTCACCAAAGAAATGGTAACACGACAATGCATTAAACTTGTCAGCCACAAGACAAGTAAAAATAAGCTTTTAAACAGCTTACTAACAATTGTAACTATTTTGTAGAAGAAACATGAACACACAGTATTCAACAATATATGCTATATCCCTTGTGAATGCCTGGATATGCATTAAAAAATGGGCATGCATTAAAATGGATGAATATACAAATAAGAAATGTTGAGGGGAAAAATGCATACAAACTAAACGACCAGTACGTGACGGTAAGTTAGTTAATGAGTGAGTCACTGAGTCATTCATTCAACTGACTGAGTGTGTTATCATGCTGGACTTTCGTGGACAGCTGACTCCTAAAGCTTTTGATATTCTTCATATTCTGTGTGGTGGTCAGATAGAAATTAATCTTTTGCAATAAGTTTAAATAGATTTTTTACCTTTTATGGGCATTTTTACCTTTATAAGGCCAT